ATACTCTGCTGTTGGGCCCTGCAGGGATACTTTGCAGTTGGGCACTGCAGGGATACTTTGCGGTTGGGCACTGCGAGGATACTTAGTGGTTGAGCACTGCAAGGATACTTTGCGGTTGGTCACTTAAAGTCAGCTTCCGGTCGGGCGAGGACAATATCTACTTTAAAATCTAACAATCCCACTGCGAGGGTTGGGAATTACCTGAACATCCCCACCCTTAACATTTTGTGGCTTGCTGCCATCATCAACTACTTCCAGCAACAGTAATATGTAGCATGTAACAGCAATGAGATTCCAAAACGTTGTCCCAACCTGCAGCAGACATGACTTCTGTACATTCCAAGCTCTACCATTGGGAGGTGAGGTGGCTTGTGTGAGGCTGGGTTTTTGCAGTTACGTTCTCGGGTTGGGCACTCTGACCAGATCCCCAAGTTGAGCACAGCAGCCAAAGATTGGGGAACTGCAGGGAACCTCTGGAGTATTTTTGATATATCCCCATGACATACCCTATTCTAATATAGCAGTTTCCATTTTCTTTTCCATAATCCCCATAGAACCCCAATATCTCAAAAAAAAAAAACACAATATTGGGCAACGCAGGGATACTCTTGAGGTTGGCACTGACAGGCAACTCTGGGGTTGAGTCATCTGTAGTTGGGGACACTCTGGGCACTGCAAGGATACTCCCGCTTAGGCCCCGCAGCGATGATGGGGGGATGTGGCCACTTTGGCACCGCAGGAATACTCTGCGGTTGGGCACGCCTGTGATACTCGGCGGTTGGATTCTCCGGGGTTGAGCACTGCACGGAGGGCAAGGACTGCCGACCCCGCGCGGCCAGAGCCGAAAAATGAAAACAAAATAGAAAAAATGAAAACGACAATTTGAGAACTCTACCAATCAAACAAAAGAATAGTAGACACGGAAAGTTGCAAATGTCAAAGCAAAGATAGGAAACATTGGGAATCAAAATATAACAACAATAGGCATGAAGAAGCGAAAAGTTGGAAAAACATAGAAGAAACATGGACACAATCATTGAGAAAATGTCAAATGGAAAAATCGTGAATCTAAACAAAAGGAATACGCAAAAATGAAATAACTTCGCAACTGACAAACGGCGTAAATCGAAAAGTAAGCAACGAAGACACGAAAGTTCAAAACTCCAGAATTACGAAAACATAGAAATCAAAATGATTGTTGTGCATTTTGGCAGGGTTGTATTCTATGTTCAGCTATTCCGCCAACCTCACAATCCTAGAGGGATGAGGGATCAACCAAAATCTTAAGATCCTTGAAAAGCCCCAACCTGTGACAATCCTTCGAGCCTGAAAGACTTCTGAAGGAACTCAAGCAACAACTGTCAGTGCAGACGGGCTGACGCGGTGTCGGATGCTTAGAGCTGTAAACATGATCCGCATCATAGGCCTTGTAAACTGAAGCCGCTCGTTTACCTCCGCCTTTGCCTCTTGGATTTCAGGTTTCAGAACTTAGGGTCTTGGGTTCAAGGTTTGGAGTGAAGGGCATATGGCGTTAGTACATTTTAGAAACAATAGACAGGGGATGAATTGCTTTGCTCAAGTAGATCAAGAAGGAAAAAAGAAACTTTGCCCTCGCCTGGATCAAAGTTGAAACTGAGGCCTCTGAACCACCATCAGCAATCAAAGCATAATGCAAACTGTGTTTGGGCATGGCTTGCCTTAGTCTCATTCAGGAATTGAAATTGACATGCAGCTAAGACCCCATTCTGGATGAGGTTCCTAAGTCCTTATATAATCCCTATATAACCCATTATAGTGGTTTCCATTTTCTTTTCCATTATCCCACTATACCACAATAATGTACGCTAATGTACTTTAATATCCTCGAATGTACTAACTTCAGCTCAACCTTCTAAAGCAACCCAGTTGCCCCCTTGCTTGCAGCTCACTCAAGACTCTCCAGGAGCCTGAAGCGCACGCCAAGTCAAAGGCACCCATGCCAGGGATCAGCAGATGCCCGGGATCCGACTTTGCAGCACAAAGTATTTGTACACCTTCCGGTATATTGGGGTAATATTTGGATTGTATTGGGGTTATATTGGGGTTATATTGAGATATGGAAAATGAAACGCAGGCTACTGTGTAGGGTTTAGGGTTTAGGGGCTCCGTTTGAAAAATCAGGGGTCTAAGTTCCCTGGCCATGAGATGTCACTGCTGGCGATTATGGCCCCTGGTAACAAAGGCCTCAGGCGTTTCCCAGGACATGCAAAATTTGAAGGAGGGCGCATTCAACTCTACATACAGATCTTGAAGACCAAAGCAGCGGCTTCTCTGGAGTTCTGCTGGCATATAGGGGAAAGTTCAAGAAGTAAGAATTGTGACCAAAGCGAACCCTGACGCCTTCCACATTGTCTGCAAACGAGGCTGCGTGCAATGCTATCCCGTTGTGGGCGGCACTTGCGCGGACGTCTGCTCTGCATGCGAGCAGCACCTTCATGGCCTGGTTTCCAAGCGACATGTGTGGAGTTTTGGAAAGGGAAATCCGTCAGGATAAGGATTTAGGGCTTAGGAGTTTAGTTCAAGGGTTTCTTATAATTTGGAGGAAATTTGTTAAAACGGGGTTGCTTCACCGGATTTTGTAGGTACTCGTTTAGTCCGTGTATGTCAGCTGACGCAAGGGATAAACATGAATCCAATGAATGAACACATCATGCATATGTTGCAGGTTTGCATTGTGATATTCCATTTGACATATGACAGATGTCACATATCCATATGTAGTGCTTGCAGAAACTTCATGACCTGTGAAGAATGCATCCAAAACGACATCAGGGTCCTCAAGACAGAAGCCCCCGATTTTGCGGGCTACTACAAGTATGTGTATGGTCTCCGTAAACTTTCTTTGGACCAAGAACTGTTCTCGCTACACGCCTTGCGGGGATCCCACCTATCCCTGTCATCCACAGGAATTTAAGTTACTATTTCTAGGATGATTATTCCTGTTATGATTGTTATCTCTGCTATTACTACTATTCCTACTATTGAACTTTGAAGGAGCTGCCTCATTGTTGGAAAAGTGGGCCGCGAGGGTCAGCGCAGAGGAGTGCTTGCAGAAGCCGATGTCCTGGTGATTAATAGAACTAGTCCCCTCCCTAACTCTCAACACCCTGCGGTAGGTCTCGTACAGTGGTGGAACGCATAACATTCAGTGTGTTTAGTATAAGGGGAAACGACTGCATCCTTCTTACAAAGACTCCAAGAACCGTGGATCCCCAAATCTGATTGTCCCCTCTTGAGGTGTCCCTGCAATGCAGGAGAGATCATAGTTTTTGGAGGGTCTAGTGGGACACGAATATGCAGAAAACCTAAACCCTTAACCACGATAATCTATTCTACTTCATCCTCACATGCTCCCCAGAGCGACCCCCAAAACTGAAGGGAGACCTTGCATGAATCATGCCAATGATCGCCACGTCATTCCCCGCGTTGTCGCTATTGGCTCTATGCTGGCTCCATAGGAATCCCATACACGTTCAATCCCTGTTAACATGACGATCAATGCATTTTTGTGGAACCGTAGGTCCTGCTTGTGCCGCTTAATGCGATCATTGCAGTCGGCTCTGTGAACGAGCAGGGCCTCTACCAGATCCTGACTTGCTCAGCTTGGGGTCTGAAATATTTCGAGGATTGCGAAAATGCATCCCCCTAAGAGCAGGCTAGAAATTACTCGGCTGCGTTTCCAGGGCCCAGGAATTTGAACTGTTCAAACACGGACAAAAGCAAGGGCTCAAAGGTGCCAAGCAGCTGGATTCCCATTCATGGCAGCGTAGCAAATGGGCGTCCACCCCGCAGTGTCACGATCGGAAACCGTGCGGAATCCGTTCTCATGCAGAAACCATTCCACTATGAAAGCCTGTGGATCGTCAAAGGGATCATTTCTCGGCACAAAGCCTGGGACAAGACCTTCGATAGGACCCACACCTAGGTTCCGCAGGCAACACTTCACCTGGGTGTTCAGCAGGAACCGATAGTTATGCAGATCGCCCTGCTCCAAGAAGTAGTGAAGCTTCTGCCACACCATCTGAACAATCACCCCTGCAATACGCTGCCGGTCTCTCTCAAAAGTGAGTTGCCCTGCACCAGGAGCATCCAAATGCCTGCTTGTGCTGAAGATCAAATTTTGGTGCGTGGCACTGTGCACCACGATGACAAACCCATCAGCTCGTGCTGCAAGCTCTCTTGCCAAGCGCTCCAACCTACACATGCAAGTTTGGAAAACCTTTTGCAATGATTCTTCAAGTGTTATCTGCATTTCAGAAGGAAAACAGAACACAAGCTGCCTTGAATTGAAGCCAGGCCCCACCTGCACCAGGTTCTTTCTGCCCAGGCATCCTCACCCAGAACTCGCTGCTGGTCTCTGTGGGTCACGGCCGGGCAGAGTATCACAAAGTACTCGCATCTTGAAACGTAGGCAACAATGGTGTCTATGGCACATTGCCGGGAGTGCACCGACGTGCTATCGCTCCCTTGTGGGCAAGAGAAGTAATCGTACCAAATGAAGAAAGGTCTTTCAGTGAAGTCATAGGAGGTCGGAGTTTTCCGTCGTCCATATTGAACCTCTGTAGGAACTGGAACTTGCACCTGGCTATGTCTCAAAATGAGGAAGTGTCTCCAACTGCCTAGCAAATAAGAGAACCTGCCATTTGCAGCCAGCATGGCACTCGCATATGCAGCAATATTTTTCCCACACTTACACTGCAAATCCTATTTCTTATTTCCACGAACAAGTAAAAGGAACCGGCCTGGCTTTTTCCCGACCGGAGGTTTCTCAGCGCATCTTGCAGCACCCGGAACTGCTCTCCATGAGGGTCCGGATGATCATGCGAGAGCCACTGGTGCGACACGAACATAGCTCTTCCCAGGTACTCCTGATTCTCATTTCACTTCGCTCCAAGTCTCGTGTAAATCACTCTCAACACTACCAACTGCCTCTCTCGAGGATGCGCAGAAAAGAGAAAAACAGCAGCTCGCCTGGTACTCAGTCAAGTCCCCGGCGGTCTTGAGCTCCTCATGAGCTCGTAATTCTCGCATCTGCAGTAGTACTTCAACAGACACCTGAGCTATGCTGGAAGCACTTAGGGCCTTGGGGCCACAGAAATGGGCGAATTGAGGTTTTTTTCGGATCTCGTCAAGAACCCTCATGATCATTTTGGATGGCTGCAAGGCGCAGCCCTATTGCCGGGCATGACCATAGAAGCTGCGACAAGCCAGGATGCCGAACAAGGTCATTCCTATGGAGTCTTAGATATCATCAGGTCCCCTTGAGATACAAAACCTTTCACCTGCTCTCAAAGAAGTGCAATGCTGGCCTTGCCAAGGACACGAAAAGCTCAAGTGGCCAGCCCTGCTTTCTGCAATCCAAAGCAAAACCTTACCAACCCACGAGCCGCAGCGGGATGGTACCTAAAATGTCCATCCGAGCAGGCTCAGATCCCTGCCGGACGACCTAGAACTCCTTGAATACAAATCACGAGCCACAAGCTCCACGGAAGTGCGCCAAGGAGCAGTGTACATGGGGAATGACAAGTCGGTCCCACGCATCTCCTCAGGCTAACCCTGGCTGTTTGGGTTCCCTCAAGAGCTGTCCCTATTGATTTCGATCTACGACATTCTGTGTACTTGAGGCGATAGACTTGGATTTGGCATTTCCTGGGGCTCCGACCTCACCCCTAAACTCTGAACCTTAAACCTTAAGGCCTCAACTCGAAGCCCTTTAAACGGTGAATCCTAAACCCTCAAAAACCCTCAACTCCCAAACACTGTAACCATACAACACTGAAACCAAGCCCCCCGAGCTCCTGGAGGAGACGACGTCTGTCCCGCTTGGTAGCTTTCGCAAGTCGGCTCAACGCGGTGTCTTCCATTGTTTTTGATTTTTCAGTGCCAAGTTTTGTGCTTGGGATTTAGGATCTGGAGTTCCACCTGTAGGCTTCAAGGTTGAGGGTTCATGGTTCAGGGTTCGGTTGGGGGCTTAGAGCTGCAGATTTCGGAGGCTTCAGGTGCAACATGTCGAATACATGCCCATACAGGGCTCAATGCTTCAGATGTTTCTATGAAACAAGTTGTCTTCAGGCTTAGGGCACCCACGTTAGGGAGACCCAGCACTGCAGCCACAAAGTTGGCTGCAATCTGCCCTGGAAACTCCTTGAGCCCAAATGTCGGATCCCGACTCTTGCAGGATGTTGAGCTACGGCAAGGTTCCCTGGGAAACGTTGGCATGTAGGCTCAAACTCGTCTGTAGAGCACGGTATGTTTCCTTGGAAAAGTCGACTTGAAGGAGGGCAGACTGCGGCACCTTACCATTTTGAGAGTACGAGCGCCGTCCCGCTTGAAGAAACGGCAATATGGCGTGCTCACGTTTGCTGTGAGCAGCCTCTTCAAACTCTCGCGCGTCTCAGAGCGCAGCTATCAGCCCCAGTATGGGGTGAAAACAATCTTTGTTATGAACTTCCTTGGCTTCCAGCTAAGCCTGCGCCTGAAACATGGCATCACGGTGCCGCAGAGGATCGTTTCACATCTAAAGAAACGGCATTCTTCCGTACTCACCCGAACTCACAAGGTTTGACCAACAGCCACTTCTGGACCCATGCAACCCTCACATAAATCATCAAATGAAACAAACCCGAGCAAGACCCTTCGAAGCGTGTGTCTCAATCCGGGCCATCAAGATCTGCTGAAGCCTGCACATCAGTGTTTGTGCAAAGGGGCATTCAATATGTGTGCAAGGTGGAAAGCATGAAGGCATTCGGCAACAAAGAATAACAATGATCCTGTGCGCGTTTTGCACATTTTGAGAATGGAATTGCAGCTTTGGCTGAGCCTGTCGAAGCACAGCCATAGGGCTTCGAGAGGTCTGTCCTTTACACTCTGGGGCAGCACTTTCTGGCCCACAGACCTCCACAAAAGCCCACAGCTAATTGTAAAGAATCTCACCACGCTACAACGGGTTGGATTGTCAAAGAACTTCAAGACATTGATGTGGTATTTGTCTCACCACACTGTTCACCATCATCAATTACTTACCAATTGATAGAGCTGTTATTGTATGATTCCAATTACTATTCGGAAGATTAAGGCATGCAATGCCATGGCGGTGCCGAGACTTCAGTCTGTCAAAAAGCCCGGCTGCAAGGAATCGTAGCGACTGAACTTGAAAATTGATTCAAACATCTCTATACAAGCCGTTGCCCTGAGGCCTTCTATCTCATAGGCTCAGAGCACGACCTCCAACCCAAAGCTGATCAGGAGCCCTAAGTAGATGAAGATGCTCACGTTCCAGTTCTCGCCCTCGTTCTTCTCAGCGGCCTCTAGGATCAGCTCTTGGATCACAAGGAAGAGGACCGCGACAAGGGAGAAGCTGATAAGGCCAGTGAACACGAAACAGCTCTGCAATGCGCTGCCGAGCGCAAAGGCTCCAATGCCGCAGCCGGCGAGGCAAAGTGGAGGGATCGCCAGCAAGCTGAAGGCCACGAGACGGTTCTGCACTTGGGAGCTTACTGCACAGCCAAAGCTGTACCCGAGGAACCCCATTTCGATAAAGGTCGCAATGGCCATCATCATGCCGGCACCTGCGGAAGTCGATGTGGAGAGCCCAATCAGCATGCCATCGACAGCCGCATCAATGGCAATAGCAAACACAAGGCCCCAGGGCAACCTGGATTGGCTCGAAGACCGGTCTGGGCCAAAATCTGCTTGCAGCGCAGCCTGCGTCACTGTCCGATGCACTCCCCAACGGCGGAAGGCCATGGGGCTGGTGTGCACATGGAGTCGCCTCAGGGTGGCACTTGCTCGCTGAATCTGCCCATCCATTGTGATGACCTTGCGTGGGCTCACAGCTTGCAATGCCTCAACATCCTCGAGAAGCTCTGCAATCCTGGATCGTGTCTCCTGGGTTGCGGGTCCTGTGAGAAGCTCAATGCCATGGCAGCTCCGACGCATGGAGTCGAGCGCGAAATCGACGAAGTGAAGCTGCTCGTCCAATTTCTCCTTTAAGCTGGAGGGCTACAGGAAAAAACTTACATTTGACGACATTCTGTTCGATTTTGAAGTCTGCTCTATACAAAAAAATGTCATTGAATTATGTGCTAGTCTCCACGTCGATGTCCCCCTGACCCTTTTGCATCTTGCTGAGCGCGCTAACCGCAAGGTTCAATTGTACGCTTCCGGAGTTGAGCTTTGCCATTTGGGCTGTTGCCACGCGTTGTACCATCGGCGGCGCGTCCTCCAGGTCACCCGTTGCAGCTCTCTGCAAAGCCTTTTCCACCTCTTCATCGGGGGTGGCAGAGTGCTCGAGCGAATGCAGGCCGTACATAATGCCAAGAGCCAGTACAAAGCCACCCAAAGCTGACAAGCAGTTTGCCACCTCCACCTGTTTGTTTCCGTCTGCGCCTATGAGCCGCTCACGCAGCATGGGGTAGATCTCTGCTAGCAGAGCACCTATCAGGAGGCCGGCTGAAAGGTTCTGGAACCGTGCCTGGACAACGTCGGATGGCATGCCCATGCGAACTGCAGCCGAACCCAGGGCCATTGATAACGCTGGAGCGACAGCCAGGGCAATGGCCACAAAGTAGGCATCGTCGGACCCCAGGAGATCACGTTCCAGGATCGACGTGGACATGCTTGCGCTGAGAAATGCACGAAACTAGGGCTCCCACTAACATGCACAAACGAGCCCTGAGCAAAGTGGCGATGGTCACGCATTGGCATTGTTACAGCATGCAGCAAATCAACATGCAATCTTGCACCGTTGGGTCGCATCCGGGGTCATGCTTGCAGTCTGACAATGAAAATGCGAAAGATTTTTTTGTAATTAAACCGATGCATGTACACAGCGGAGAGCCTTCCCGCGTGCAGCTTGGAAACAAGAAGAAGCGCTGAGCAGCATGGCAAGGAGTCAGCAAAACTGTTCGCTGCGTTCAGGGTTTGCCGAAATACTCCAACCAGCTGGACAAACACTTGAGCAACAAACCCTGGACTCCTTTAAAAAAACATTCCTACTTCGAATGCTTGGGTGAAACAGGGATGCGATAGCTCGTATCTTAAGATTGTTGTTGTCATGCTGTATGGCTTTGAGTCCAAACCGCACCATTGAACCTGCAATCAGCTAAACGCCCACAACATCATGTGAGCTGCAACGCATCTTCTCACTTTTGTCAAATCAATGCATTGCCAACATGATTCAAAAAAAACACACCACCAAGCAGCACAAGTGCACATGAATGCCTGTGCAACTTGTCAAACACCAACTGTTAAGCTTACTTCGTCCATGCTGAGTGATGGGAGCTTGTAGCATCTTGTAACCAACATGTGACTGTCAGAGAAATTTGGGAGCTACTCGGATTTCTGCCACCTAGGGCTGTGAAAAATTGCAAAATAGTCACAGTCACCCGGGAAATTTTCAATGGAAAAAACCCAACCTTTCAATGGCTACAATCTCAAAGGCTGCTTCCTCTGTTTTACGATGTCATGAATAGGTCCGACGTCCTGCTACAGATTTCAAGGGGGAACCTATGTGTTTAAAAGTTGGTATAACAAAACCCCAGAGAGGAGAAAGACTGGAAGAGTTACGTGTTGGTGGCAGGCAGCACCTTGTTGAGTGAGATGGTTTACCATTCGCAAATACATACCGTAACCTAGACAACACGCCGGATCACAACGAATTTGAACCAACACCATGATCACAATTCGCCCTTCAATTTCTTCGAAATTTCTCTCTTAGAAATTCGTTTTATTCAATATGGAGTGCAATCAAACTCACTCAAGTCTCCATCAATATCAAAAGATATTAAAATCAAATGCACATGCAAAGGCGCACGCATTTAATCATTTTTCACATGGGGCATCCACGGCTGAGGTCAGGTTTGACATGCACAAGCCCTTCAGGGCACACACTGAATGCATCCCGCAAGAGGCATCCTGCACGGAAATCCAGCACGTTTGAAGCATATTCATCCTGCATGTGCAGTGCCCCCCAGGGTTGGGTGGGTGGCACAAAATTTTCTCTTCTTGCGAGAGCCAACTCAGATGTACAAGGATTTCATCATCAAGCCAACGTAATACAGCAAATGATTTCATGAAATCTGGCAACATGAAATCACATGGAGAACGTGAATTAATTTTCACATGCACCGCATGAATAATGAAACGTCACCCTGCGGGGGAGGTTGTTCTTATTCAATACGCAGCGCAATCAAACTCACTCAAGTCTTCATCAATATCAAAAGATATTAAAATCAAATGCACATGCAAAGGCGCACGCATTTAATCATGTTTCACATGGGGCATCCACGGCTGAGGTCAGGCTTGAAATGCACAACCTCATCAGGGCACACACTGAATGCCCGTTCCCGCAAGAGGCATCCCGCACCGAAATCCAGAACGTTTGAAATGAGCGAGTGAATGTGAGTGAGTGAGTGAGTGAGT